GGGGACGGGAACGGGAACGGGAACGGGAACGGGAATGGGAATGGAATGGGAATGGAACAGAACTGAATAGACATTAGAGAAGAGATCACAGTGCACTGCACCTAGAAAAGCACACATTAGTTTCTGAAACTTGAATTTTGATTGCGTGTGTGTACCAAGTAGTGATGTAAAATGTATTTCCCAGTGAGGGTAAGGTCCAGTTTTGAAAATCATGAACCTAGATCTCTCTCAATCTCTCCCTCTCTCTCCCCTTCCCTCCCTCCTTCCCCTTCTCCCTACTCCATACTATTATGCATTTATATAGGAAAATCAATATTATATTATATAATATTATATGTCATATATTATACATTATACTTTATAAATTATATTATTATATATCATATGTTACATAAATTGTTGGGAATGTTAGCACGAACCAAGCTTAGAAAACTCCCATGAAGCCAGGCCATTAAGTAAAGCTGCTGGGACTGGCAGTCATGACTGTGGTTCTCACACTAGAAAGGACGGTGAGTACTACTTAGGCCACAGGCCTTCCGGCATCTACCTAACCTTCACCAGAGAACCTCTTGGCATCTCTCTTCCCTAGCCACTTCCTGCCGAGATTGTAGGGCCAGACAATTAGTTTATTAGTCCTTAAACAGTGTTAACTGGGGACTAGCCGTAGACAATATGTTTTATACATTTATCTTATTTAGTCTTAACTATCACTCTGGAATATCATTCCCATAAAACAGATGATGAAACTGAGGCTCAGGAAGGTAATATAGGAAACCCCAGATCTTATGGCTAGGAAGGAAGTGTTGGAGCCAGGAGGAAATCCAAGTCTCCAGGCTCCAAAGCCCACACTCTTTCTACCACACTGATGCCTTAGTTCAGGAATCGACTCTGAGCTGGAGATATGTGTCCAGAAGATTTTTGGAGAGCACCCTCACCTCAACACCTGTAGGGGAGAAGGAATTTATGACTGGGAAATGGATCCCAAAATTTCATGTAAGGTTCTAGAGCTGGACTGGCCTTGTGGAAGTGTCTCATCCTAAGGCAAGGCGGCTAGGCCTCCATATCCCATTCTCCCCATAGACATGTCTTCAGATTCTGGCTGCCCCAGGGAGAGGGTGTGAGCTTAGGTGAAGTGGTCTCTTCTGCTGAGGGCAATGGCAGAGAAGGACTTAAGTAAGAGTCATCAGGCGTCCACACTCCCAGGAGCTGGAGAATGAATGCCTTGGTCCCACAAGGAGATCTGGGCAGGGTCCTACAGCATCTGCCATATTAGAGAACACAAGCCCCCCCTTCATAAATTCACTCCATATTTTCTATTCTCAGCTCTATGACAAAGATGAATCCTCTGCACTTAGAAGATACTGTTATGTATTTCAGCTCCACCACTTACCATGTGATCTTGATTCAGTAACTTAATCTCTCAGTGCTTCAGTTTTCTCATCTGAAAAGTGAAAATAATAATCACAAATGGGATTTTTTAGAATTAATACAGTTCTAGCACCTAAGCTGCTGGCAGATGTTTCTTGTTGCTAAAGCTATTGTTGTTATACTTTTGTTTTGCTCCCTCATTGACCAGCCCTTTCTCTGCATAAAACGTGCTTTGAACTTAAACACCAACAGACATAAGTTAGAGAAATTTGCCCAAATCTCAGTTCAGTACTTTGGCCCAATATATATTTCAGTCCTACATCTGCTACAGCCACTTTGCTTCACTCACTACCACTGAGAGTGTGATTCCTTAAGGGAAGATTCAAAAGTCTTCTTTATGAAGCACCACTGGGCTCACTCCAGGACAGTAAGAGTCTAAATAATTCATGAGAATTGTGCCTGCAGCTGACAAGGACAAGGCAAGTTGCACAAGAGCAGCTTATTCCTTGTACACCTTTGCGTGGTCTTTAATAACACAGGCAGCTGGCATGGAATTCAGTCATGCTAAAAAAAAAATTTTCAAGTACTCCAAAGAAGGCCAGACAAATATTTAAAGGATAGTTAAGGCCAAAGT